GAGTAGATAAAAATTATATAAATATAGTATCTATTAATTACTATATCTTATTATTATCTCTTATATTAAAGAGTTAAAATAAGTATTAATTTTTAAAATATTAATTATTAAAGTAATTATTATCGCTTAAATCTTATTAAAAATTATTAATTTCAAAATTGCTAGTAGAGAATAGATCTTAGAAAATTTATATTATTATTAAATAAATTTATATTCCTAATAGATATAATAGCGAAATTCGTATTTTTATTATCGATATATATATTATTAATTTTAACGCTAATTAAAGCTTTTATCGAAGTTTCTATTAATAATTAATTAAAGTTAATTAAAGATATAATATATTAATATTTAGTTAAGATTATTAAGATAGCTATTAATAAAGTTAATATTAATTAAAGTTTATTTATAATTAATTAAAATTAATTAAAGATATAATATATATTTCGAAAAATAATATTAAATATTCGACTCGAACTCTATAATCTTATTTAAATTTCTTTTATCTTATATCTTACTTAATCTAATACGCATTTTCTTATTATCGTATTATATATATTATTATATTAATATCTATATTTTCTTTAAACGATATATTTATAATAGTAGCGCTTATCGAAATCGATTTTTATATTAAATTCGATATCGCGAAGTTAGGCGTTCTCGCGAATTAAGATAATATTTATAAAGAACTTCGATTTTTAGAGCTTATATTTAAAGTAGTAAAAGAGAAGTTCTCGTATTAATTAAGATATAAAGGTCTTTAAAGAAAGTCTATAAAATAGTAGAAGAGAAAGGTTAATATTATTATAAGCGAGACTATTTAATTACTATTTATTTTTAATTATATAATCGCGTAAGACCTTAGCTTTCTTCTTAAATTCTTATATAAATTAATCTTATTAATTAATAAAGCGTCTACGAAGTAAGAGAAGCGATTATTTAAAAGAGAATTAACGAAAATATAGAAAGACGAATATATGAAGACTTAGAAGCTCTTAACGATTAAGAGATTAATAAATTTCTATTAATCTAATAGATTATTAATTAAAAACCCTTCTAATATTAACTTCTTTTAATTTATTATTATTAACAATCTAAATAAATATAAACTTATCTCTATTTAGAAGTTAATAGATAATCTAATAATAATCTCTCGATTCTAAGAATAACTTAGTCTTAAAGCTCTTATTATCTATCTTTAATCGAAACGATTTTAAGATAATATTAATAAAAATTCTATAATATTATTTTATTTAATTTATAGAGTAGATAATATAAGCTTAATTATAGATAATAATAATAATTTATAAAAGGCGTATAAATATTAAAAGCGAGTATATATATTTAAATAGCGAATATTTTTATAACGCGTAATTAAAGATTTATTAATCTCGCTTTTCTATATTAATAATAAGTATTAATATTAATTTTAGCTTCGATTAAGACGTTAGATATCGAAGTTAATATCTTTAAAACTTCGCGAGATTTATTAATATACTTATATTCTTAATCTTAATAACTTTTTAAGATATTTAAATATCTAGTCTTTTCTTCTATTAAGCTAAAGTAAGTCTTAAAGTTTTTAATCTCTTTTAATTTTTATAATACTCTACCTCAATTCAATTCTATCGAAATTTCGCTTTCTCTTTATTCTATTATTACTTAATCTTTAATCTTATTACTTAATTTATTTAATATTTATAAAGAAAATAAAATAAATTCTTAACTTATTAATATTAGCTTAAACGAGGATAACTTTTAATTATAAATTTATTACTATTCTTTATAAAAGAAGTTTATTAATAATTTAATAGATAACATTATTATACTTAAAACTTATAAGAGTAATAACACGCTTTTATTATAAAAGAAGAGGCGTTTAATAGTAGAAGATACTATATTAATAAAGCTCTTAATTAAATAAGATTACACTTTTTAATTAACTAATTCTTATAATATTAAAATTAATAAAATTATAAGTTAAAGAAAGATATAAAATAATATAAAGGTCGACGATAGAGACCTAGTATTAGAGTATATATTCGAGTATTATTAGTTATTTATTCTTTATACTAATTAATATAATAGAAAAATAAAATTTAATAAAAAAAAGAGATTTTAATAATTTAATATAACTTATTAAATTATAAAGTAAGTCTTATAGCTTAATTATAATAATATAAGTATTAATAATACTCGAATATTTAGAGGCTTAAGCTATATTTTAAATCCGCGAGAGATATTAATTCTTATTATTTTAAAGGTTTATTAACTTTATAATTTAATATAATAATATTTTTAAGTAAATATCTATAAAGAAGCTATTAATATAAATAAGTCTAACTTTAATAAGATAAATATATCTAATTCTTTTATTTAACTCGCTAATATAAATATTTCTTTAAACTCTAATACTATTAATAAGTTAGATATTTAAATAATAACTTACTTTACGATTTAATATTCTTAAAAGATATTAGAATATTACTATCATCGAAGTCTTTAAGAAATCTCTCTTTATAAATAAATATCTTATATCGTAATTCGTTTAAAAGAATTAATAGTCTTAATATTCTTTAATCGAGATATTTAATATTATTTATTTATATAAAGATAAAGCGAATTACGTAGCTTAAATAATATTTAAAATAAAATTCTTTTTTATTATTATTCTAATAAAGACTTTAACGAACTAGTTTATAGAAATTATTAAATTTATAAATCTCGATAATCGCGATATTATATAACTTTATATATTTTATATATATAGATTAACTCGATATTATAAAGTTAGCGCTAAGCTTTTAACCTCTATAAATATTAAATTATTTAAATATATAATTAACGATTAAGCTTAATCTAAATAAGAGAGATTCTTAATTCTAATAATTTTCGAGTTATATAAAAATTATATAAAAGCTATAATTAAAGATAAAGGAAAATTTGAATATAACTTCGCTATCGACTAGATCTATATTAATAAGTTTTATAATATAAAGTTAGATATCGCTCTAATTCTTATATTAATTAATATCTATAAAATAAAATAATTTAAAATTATAATTAATAATCTCGTAAATACGCGAAAACTATATAAGAAGAGGCGAGTATACTATAATAGATTAGCGAAGAAGTATAAGTACTATCTATTATTTATATATAAATACTTAATTATACTATAGATTAAATTCTTTATAAATATAGTAGTAATAATTCTCTCGATAGAGTAGCTATAATAGAAGATAGATTTTATTATATTAATAATAATAGAGAAAGTATATTATAAGATTAGAAAGTGAATAGAGAATATAAAAGCTCGCTTATATAGCCTATCGAATAAGAAATTAAAAAGAAATATTAATAAAATATAGATAATTCTAGATAAGCTAATAATTAAATAAATAGCGAAGATAAGAATTATTAATAGCGGTACTTTACTTATTAAACTTTTATTATATAAAATAAGAAAGATTATTTATATATTAAACGAGGATTAAAGAAAGATACTATAGAATATTAATTAAATTATCTAAAATTAAACTAAAGCGAAATATTAGTATATATAAAAGAATAAGGTAGGGCTGAGCTTGAAAACCTTGAATTTGTATGTGCAGCCAATCATTAATTCGGGTTCGCTACGCTCTTTGGTTAGACCGGCTGAGTCAGCCCGGTAGCCCTCCCGCCTTCCCTCATCAAAAATTTGTATGTAGAAGTTTTACACTTTGAAGTACTCAGCTTGCGATACATACAGTTACTTCATAATTCCTCAAATTGTAGAGCTCGCTTTGCGCTTTCTAACGCTGTAAAAATTATGAAGTTTGGCCTACTATTGGTGGATTAAATGGATATTTAAATATGGTAGTCATGGTAGTCACACCAGACGCGTCCGGGATCGGATAATAATCCTTCCACCTGTTTGTGTAACCATTCTTCTTCCACCATTCTACCAATTCTATTAATTCCATCAATATGAACACAATCGTCCTCGATACCCCTCGCCCAAAGGTTACTCAACGTTTCAGGCACGTACACCCCTTTTGCCCGCCTCTTAGAGCCCCTACTGACGCCCTCAGGCCACCCCTCGGCGAATCCGCTACTGCTGGCAATCGAGGCCGCAAGCGAGCCCAACAGCTACCTACTAGGTACTGCTTATAAACGCGTTAGAAGGCCCTCTAAAGAGCCCGAACGGATACGTCCTCCCCTACATACTCTTCTCAAGCCAGCGGTAATACCTTTTAACCCAGCGATGCTACCTTCCAAGACGCGTCTTCCTCCCCTACCTTTTGTTAGATCCTGAACATCGTTAAGAAGAAGCTCCTGAAAATATGATAATCATACCAGACGCGTCCGGGATCGGATAATAATCCTTCCACCTATTTGTGTAACTATTCTTCTTCCACCATTCTACCAATTCTACTAATTCCACCAATATGAACATATTTACCCTCGGTACCCTCGCACTCAATTGAATAAGAGGAGGATCTACAATAGGCGAATGCGGAGAACACTGCGGAGAACATTGCGGAGATAGTCATCAGCAGCAGTGACATAACAGGCCTACTCTCCACGGTCTTACATCAATCCACTCAGCCAGTGCAAGAGAAGTCAATACAGTAGGCGAATGCGGAGAACACTGCGGAGAAACCAAGCGGCAACAAGGCCCCCAGCACCAAGAACACGGCTCAGCTCTCCAAGATCCCACGTCATATGCTCTCCACGGTTCCACATCAAATCATCACTCAGTAAGCGGAGAACACCACTGCAACTTAGCCTGTTATCCCCACTGCATTAAGGAGTAAGAGGAGGAACTACAACAGGCAAATGCGGAGAATACTGCGGAGAAACCAAGCGGCAACAAGGCCACCATCGTCAATAACACGGCTCAGCTCTCCAAGATCCCACGTCATATCAATCATTCACTCAGTCAGCTACTCAGCTAGTTACTTAGTCTGATACTCTATAAGAGAAGGAGCAAGAGAAGGAACTACAACAGGCAAATGCGGAGAACACTGCGGAGAAACCAAGCGGCAACAAGGCCCCCAGCACCAAGAACACGGCTCAGCTCTCCAAGATCCCACGTCATATGCTCTCCACGGTTCCACATCAAATCATCACTTAGCAAGCGGAGAACACCACTGCAACTTGGCCGTTCCACATCAAATCATCACTCAGCAAGCGGAGAACACCACTGCAACTTAGCCTGTCATCCCCACTACATTGAGGAGCAAGAGGAGGAACTACAACAGGCAAATGCGGAGAACACTACGGAGAAACCAAGCGACAACAAGGCCACCATCGTCAAGAACACGGCTCAGCTCTCCAAGATCCCACATCATATCAATCATCCACTCAGTCAGCCACTCAGCTAGCCACTCAGTCTGATACTCTACAAGAGGAGGAGCAAGAGGAGGAACTACAACAGGCAAATGCGGAGAACACTGCGGAGAACACTATGAAGAACACTGCGGAGAACACTATAAAGAACACTGCGGAGAAACCAAGCGGCAACAAGGCCCCCAGCACCAAGAACACAGCTCAGCTCTCCAAGATCCCACGTCATATGCTCTCCACGGTTCCACATCAAATTATCACTTAGTAAGCGGAGAACACTACTACAACTTAGCCTGTCATCCCCACTATATTAAGGAGTAAGAGGAGGAACTACAGCAGGCGAATGCGGAGAACACTGCGGAGAAACCAAGCGGCAACAAGGCCCCCAGCACCAAGAACACGGCTCAGCTCTCCAAGATCCCACGTCATATGCTCTCCACGGTTCCACATCAAATCATCACTCCGGAACGATGCATATTTGGACGAATTGAAACCGTCCGATGTCTACAGCTATTTCATTATTCGAAAAATTTCACTGCGGCAGGAGATATTGTGGGATTCACACCACTAATTGGCACGTTGTCTCCATTTCTTTCCGGTATTTCGATACTTCTTGCCATAAGGGCATAACCTTTCTCTTTTTTTGTAGGCAATTATTACACCTTCCTAATTAGGCCTTAGCTCCGCAATATATGCCTATATACTACATAGATTAAATCAATTTTGTAGTGGTGGAAGTAGGTGAAAAACGCATAGCAAGCGATTAGAGTTCGATTTGACTTAGGGCTAGGGCTAAAATTCCATTTGACTTAGAAAAATCCAACTCCATTTGACTTAGAAAAATCCAACTCCATGAATTTAATTCATGGGCCTTTACTTGTCTTATATAATATAAAAAAATCGTAATCTAAAATTATAATATCTCTAATTTTATCTATAACTTATACTTTAATAAAGCTTATAAGCTTTAAATAATAATAATAATTTCGAATATTCTTAATTTCTCTAAATAATATTAATTAAAGCTAATTAATTCTAAGTATCGAAATAATAAAAACTATTATAAGATAAGATAATAATAATTAAACTTTATAAAGCTAGATAATAAGAAAGATAACTAACTCTAATACTTAAAATATAATATTTATAACTATTATCTAGACGAGTTAATATAAGATATTTCTAAGCTTATCGCCTTAAAGTAGTTAATTAATACTCTCAAGAAGGATATATATAAATATACTAAAAAATTAATTATTTTTATAAGTTTCTCTATCGTTAATCTTATTATTAATCTAATATATTTTTCTTCTTTATCTAATTAATCTCGAATAATACTAATAAACTCGTAATAATTTAAATAAAAATATTCGAACTATAAAACTCTCTAGTATTTCTTAATAATTTCTCTTAAGAATTATAATAATATAATAGTATAATCTTTCGAGAATAATAACGAATCTCGCTTTCTAGTTTTTATTAAACGCTTTATAAATATAAATATAATCTTAATAAGATTCTTTCGCTCTATAAATCTAGATATCGACTAAGAGAAATAATAGAATATTTAAATAGATAATAGAATAATACGACTATTATAGAAAAATAAAAAGATTTATAATTATTATTTAATATTAAATAACTTAAAGAGTCTTAATAATAAGATATTAAATCGAAATATATAAAGAGAGATAATTCGATCTTAAATATATAATAATATTAGAAATAAGAATAATAGTATTAGAAATATAGATAACGCGAATATATAGATAGCTTAGATATCGCTTATTCGATTTCGATACTATTATTATATTTAATATTTAAATTAAATAAGCGATATATTTAAATTAATTAATAATAATAATAAATTTAATATCTAATTTTTATTAAATAACTATAATTCTTTTAATTATAATTCTTAATTATTAATATAATCTCTAATCTAACTTCTAGATAGTATAAATTATAATTAAATATTCGAGTTAAATAGACGATTTAAATAGTTAATAAACTATCGAATTAAAGTCGAATAATTAATTATCGTATTAGTTATTAGCGCCTATAATATCGTATTCTACTATTTTCCTTTTATAATTTATTATTTAATATTTACTTCGTAAACTTTATACTATAGACGATATTTAATAAAACCTCTATCGAAGCTATTCTTAATTTTAATATCGAGTTTTATCTAATATAAATCTTTTATCTTAACTTTTAAGACTAGCTTTCGATCTAAATAGATTATTAATAATATATTATATTCTTCTTTTAAACTCTATTTACTACTAAAGTAAATTATTAAATAGATTTCTATTTATAAAGAAAGTTAAGTTATTTATTAAAGTATTCTAACTCTAATCTTAATCCTTAATATTCTTCTTTTTTATATCTTTTTTTTACTATACTTTATATAAGACGATTCTTAGAAAATCTCGAAATTCTTAATCTCTTTTAGACTTACTAATATCTCGCTTTAATCTAAATCTATTAAAACTTTACTTTCTTTCTATTTTATTATCGCTTTATCTTCGATCTTATTATTTAATTTATTTAATATTTATAAAGAGAATAAAAAAAATTCTCGATTTATTAGTATTAGCTCGAACGAGAGTAATTCTTAATTATAAATTCGTCGTTATTTTTTATAAAAGAAGTTCGTTAATAATTTAATAGATAACGTTATTATACTTAAAACTTATAAGAATAATAATATACTTTTATTATAAGAGAGAAGGCGTTTAATAATAGAAGATATTATATTAATAAAGCTCTTAATTAAATAAGATTATATTTTTCGATTAACTAACTCTTATAATATTAAAATTAATAAGATTATAAATTAAAGAAAGATATAGAATAATATAAAGGCCGGCGATAAAGACTTAATATTAGAGTATATATTCGAGTATTATTAATTATCTACTTTTTATATTAATTAATTTAATAGAAAAATTGAGCTCGATAAGAAAGAGAGATTATAGTAATTAAATTAGACTTAAAAAATTATAAAATAAATTTTATAATTTAATTATAATAATAGAAGTATTAAAAATACTTATATCTTTAGAGACTTAGAATATATCTTAAGTTTATAAAAAATCTTGATATCTATTATTTTAAAAATTTATTAGCTATATAATTTAATATAAAGATATCTTTAGATAAATCTTTATAATAAAGTAATTAATATAGATAAATCTAACTTCGATAAGATAAATATATCTAATTCTTTTATTTAATTCGCTAATATAAATATTTCTTTAAACTCTAATATTATTAATAAGTTCGATATTTAAGTAATAACTTACTTTATAATTTAATATTCTTAAAGAGTATTAAGATATTACTATTATCGAAATCTTTAAGAAGTCTTTCTTCGCGAGTAAATATCTCATATCGAGATTTATTTAAAAGAATTAATAGTTTTAATACCCTTCTATAAATATACTTAATATTATATATCTATATAAAAATAAAGCTAATTATATAGCTCGAATAATATTTAAATTAAAATTCTTCTTAATAATCGTTTTAATTAAAATTTTCGCGAACTAGCTTATTAAAATTATTAAGCTAATAAATCTCGAAGATTATAATATAATATAACTTCGCGTCTTTTATATATATAAATTAATTTAATATCGTAATATTAGCTCGAAGCCTTTAATCTCTACGAATATTAAATTATTTAGATATATAATTAACGATAAAGCTTAATCTAGATAAGAGAGATTCTTAATTTTAATAACGCTTAAGTTTTATAAGAATTATATCTAAGTTAAAATAAAGGACTTATTTATATATAACTTCGCTATTAAATAAATTTACGTCGACGAGTATTATAATATAAAGTTGAATATCTTCTTAATATCTATATTAATTATCGTCTATAAAATAGAGTAATCTAAAATTATTATCGAAGATTCTACTTATACGTAAAATCTAAATAAAAAAAATAAGTATATTATAATAGAATAGCGAAGAAATTTAAGTATTATCTATTATTTATTTATAAATATTTAGTTATATTATAGATTATATTCTTTATTAATATAGCGATAATAATTCTATTAATTAAGTAATTATAATAAAAGATAAATATCATTTTATCTAAAATAATAGAGAAGAAATATTATAATATTAAAAAGTATATAGAGAATATAAAGTCTCGCCTACGCGCTTTATCGAATAAGAAATTAAAAAGAAATATCGACGAAATATAGATAATTCTAGATAAACTAATAATTAAATGAATAGTAAAATCGAGAATTATCGATAATAATGCTTTACTCGTAAAGCTTTTATCTTATAAAATAAGAAAGATTATCTATCTATTAAGCGACGATTAGAGAAAAATTCTTTAAGATATTAATTAAACTATTTAAGATTAAATTAAAGTCGAGTATTTTATATAATATAATAAGATCTAGAGCTAAAGATATAATTTATTTAAATTTATATATAAGTTATACTTTAATAAAGCTTATAAACTATATATCGTAATTATTATTTTTAATATTCTCGAATTCTCTAAGATATATTAATTAAAGCTAATCGATATTAAGTATTATAATAATAAGAATTATTATAAGCTTAAATAATAGCGATTAGTCTTCTAAGCTAGATAATATAAAGAAGAATTAATTATAATATTCGTAAGATAGTATATATAATTACTATCTATACGACTTAATAAAAAATACTTTTAAGTTTATTATATTAAAATAGCTAATTAATACTCTTAATAAAGATATCTATAAATATTCTAAAAAGCTAATAATATTTATAAGTTCCTTTATAATTAATCTAATTATCGCTCTAATATAATCTTCTTCTCTACTTTATTAATCTCGAATAATATTAATAGACTCGTAGTAGTTTAAGTAAGAGTATTTAAATAACGAAATTCTCTAATACTCTTTAATTATTTAACTTAAAAATCGCGATAATCTAATAATACGATCTTTTAAGAATAACGATAAATCCCGCTTTTTTATTTTAATTAAGCGTTCTATAGATATAGATATAACGCTAATAAGAGTCTTTCGCTCTATTAATCTAGATACTAATTAGAAGAAATAATAAGATATTTAAATAGATAAGAGAGTAATACGACTATTATAGGAAAATAAAAAGATATATAACTATTATTTAATATTAAATAATTTAAAGAGTCTTAATAATAAGATTTTAAATAGAAATATACGAAGAGAGATAATTCGTTCTTAAATATATAATAATACTATATTATCTTTTTAGATA